TCATATTAAAATCTGCTTTCCATATATTAGGTTGGCCCTCTGTTCTCTTCTGGCGTTGAGGGAAGAGTGAGTAATCCCATATTAGCGTAGCATGGTCACTTTTCCCGAGAGGTGCTTTAGAATACACTTTGTCGATATTAGGGAAGTCTTTAGTGAAAACTATGTCTAGACGATTCGCTCTCTGGTTCTCTCGAAATCTTGTTGGTACCTTCACATGCTGCGCCAGAGGGAGATCGAGTGTGAGGTCCAGTTGCTTATTGCTGAAAGAAGCTGGCCCACCGTTAACTGCCACAGTTCCCCACTCTATTGCAGGTGCGTTGAAATCCCCAGCAATAAGTACCTCTTGGTGGCTAGCTACGTCTTTGACTAAACCAAGGACCGACTCGTCAACTGCACTCAGAAGGTTTGGTGATCTATAAATCGCCAGGAATTCTAGATTTTGTGTATTGTTCTTCTTCATCTTTATCCTGACGAATTCATATTCAAAAGAGAGGGGGTGGGCTCTTTCAACTGCCGAAATTCCTGCCTTTACATATACGAGTACCCCACCACCCTGTCTATTTTGACTGTCTCTACGAAAGAACTGGTAACCTGGTATCGAAATCTCAGCATCCACGATTTCGGCATTAAGCCAAGATTCCGTTATGACGATGACGTCGGGGATTCGTTCGGATGCTATCGCTTTACGTTCTTCGAACTTCGAAACGAGACTATGAGCATTGGTATACAAAAATCTCAATTTGGCACGAGCAACTCCGGCATACAGGCGTTTATCCATTTCCTGAGATTGAATGCAAAAGCCGGTGGGAGTTGGTCGGGATGAACTGCTTCTCATCACTCCTAAGCTGTTAGACTTATGGGTTTTTCCAAATGAATGGCCTCTGGACGCGTATAATTTTCCCGTCCACTATTATGAGATTTGTCTCGTCCAGACTCGACCGCCTGAGGACTTCCAATTTGAGCCCCCTCCATTTTTCTCGCTCCGCGGGTGAAAACTCCCGCTGAATAAAAACCGATGGATGGACATGTTTAAGCGCAGGTTTCCTGCTCAAGAGTAGCTGCGCTTGTTCGTCATTCTCAAAGACAATTTTTAACGGTCTCGGTCGGTCTGGTTCATGTTTTGAGTCTTTTATTTGGCCCATCCTGAAAGCCTTTAATACTGTGACTTTCTCCTCTCCTACTAACATCGATTTAAGATATTCCTGGAATATTTCTATGTCATGCTGTATTCTGTCCTTTGGAGTGTCGGAAACAGACTCAGGCGTGCCCCTTATAACAATGCATTTACTGCGATCAGCTACGCAGCCGTGTGGTTTAATCAGACCTGCAGAGTCTTCATCGCGGATATCCCGGCTACCGCCTTCCACCGATTTAGGAAGGCTTGATTCGGTAGGACTAACGCATGACTGCCTGTTTACTACGATCTTTTGATCATTGGTCATTTTCAGCGACGCGATTTTCGTCTGTGGTGTAGCCAAATCTTGCTCCCTTGTCTGACTCTCCGTACCTTCTCGAGGTACCCTGAGATTTCTTTTTGTTCGCTGAGATCGCGTCTGACCCCGGTTCTCTCGCACAGAACACTGGTTGTCATTCATATCGAGCTCTAGCGACCTACTGTTTTCCTTATCCTCTGTCGACACAGCCGAGGAAGCCGTGTTTGCGTTTGTTCGCTCACCCTTCATTCTCTTTGGATGAACAGCGAGGGAGATTCTTCAGCTTCTCCATCTCCACTTTAAGGCCCTTTATCTCCTTCTCCATTTCCGCAAATTTTTGAAGGAGTCCAGAACATGTCGCGCAGGCTTCTTCTTCGTATTTGATATCCATACAGTTTACTAGACTCCTTGCTCGTTTAGCAGGAGGTGATTTGACAGCGATATATACAGAATTGCAGTCGTTTGTACTGCGAATAATGTTTGCTCCTTTATTTATTTTGGTCTGTTCGCCGTGTGCCGATAGTCTAGTAGTGATCCCGCTGATCACCTGAGTTTAACTCCCACCTGCGGCGAGTTTTTTGCACATTGTCCTGATGGTGTTTTGTCAGATCAGTTCAGTTCAGTTTATTGAGGGAAATAGGCGTAAGATTTGAGTACCCTATTTGCAACGTAAAAAAATTTGTGGTATACTGATAAATGTTCTGGGTTGAAATAGTTCAAACACGCCCATAATGATGGGACAAAATGAGAACGAGTTAAAGGAGGTGAGCTCGAATTCTCATCGCTCCTGTTCATTTCGGAACAAAAATATGTCAAGATTCTTATTAAAACTTTGTATAGATGGCGACATCACAACATCTGCGGGAAGGGCATTCCATGATTTGACCACTCGAACAGAGAAGGAGAACCTCCGTACATCCAGCCTTGCCTGCCGAGTGCGCAGTTTCAACGGGTGACCTCGGAGTTAGGTCGTGGTAGCAAATTCAAAAAAGTCCTGAAAGGCCAGACTGCAATCCAACCCCTTAACAATGCGGAAGGCTTGCAAGAGATCCCCACGAAGTTGCCTGTAACCCAAACGAAAGAGGTTCAGATTTACTAGGCGGGTTGAATAAGGAAGGGAGCTTTGACCCCTGACCATCTTCGTGGCTCTCCTCTGGACTCTTTGGGGACAATTTTGATCCTCAACCGTCCACGGCCTCCAGGCTCGTATGCCGTACTCTAAATGCGGCCGGACGAATGTTCCGAATGTCTTAGAGAAAGCATCGTCGTCAAAGTGCATAAACGCACGCTTGATGGCGTACAGTACGGACATTGCGCTTTTTGCCACCCTCGAACAATGGGCGGATGGCTTTGGGGAACTCGTCGTCAGCACACCGAGGTCCTTTTGGGCTTCGGCCTTTTGTAGGGCTGCACCGACCAGAAAGTAGCCTCTTGTGCTGACGGATCTGGCTGTGTTGCCTAGGAGAAGTATGCTACTTTTGGCAACGTTGAACTGCAGGAGGATGCGCAAGGTATTCTAGTTACGAGACGAAGTATTTAAAGGTTAGGAGAAGCTTTTTAACCAAGCCAACAATGTGAAGCAAATAACAAACGACTCAGCCGTTCTTGGATCTGGAGTCCCGCGGTGCTGTTGGCAGAGAATTAATATGAAGGAGAATGGTCGTCACAAAGAAAGTTCTGTCGGAGTTTCGTGTGGATCGTTCGAGGAATGGCTGATTGAGCTTCAATTTCTTATTCCAAATGGGCCCGCGAAGCGTACAGTAGGCAGAAATCCCGGAAAAGGTAAATCCCTCGGAGGTCGAAAATTCCAAACCGAATTCGAAAGGCGCGCGACTTGGTTTAACCAAGTTCGTCCCCTCTACTTGCTGACAAGGGATTTTTCCACCGATGCTTTCTTATAAAGCCATAAAGACTGGCAATGGTGGGCATTGGACCCATAGGCGTGGGGATACCAGCAGAAATTGTCAGGCGTGGCACGCCTGAAACCGCATTTGGAGATCTCGGGCGGAGAGTGATTGTAAGAATTCTACGATTAGGTAACCAAGTAGCACGAAGCTGGGTGAGGGCGTCTAGATGTCTCACTAAGCCCTCGATAGTGAGCGTGATTGGCACAGCTGTAACACGTCTAGAAACACTGACTGTTAAGGGCGGCTAGCAGTACTCGAGGATGCGTTCAACAGCTTTCTCGTGCATTTTGACGGACGAGTAAGTGGTGACAAATACAAGAGAAGCCTGTACAGAAGAGAATGTTCGTTGGTGCAAAAGATGCATAAACACGGTGGCATTGAGATTTTGACTATCCGCCAGCTGCTCCAGACGCTTAAAAAGCTGCTCAGGCTCCCACTTACCAAGATCTGCCTCAAGAATCAAAGGTTTTAGGCTTCTTGGGAGATGCGAGAGCTGAGGGCCTCCTGTACTGTAGCCTGTGGAAGGACTGTCTATAGTATCGCGAAGATCAGTGACGATATCCATTGGCAATGCATCCACGACATAATGAAGTTTCATATCCAATCCTGTAATCTGCCGCAAGGCCGGACAGAATTCTATTCTGCTCACCCACAGCGCTGTGAGGTCCGAAGTGTGCGTCTCGGTAGTTAAATTGCTGGTAGGTTCGTCGGCCATGATTAACCGATATCGGTCAGAGTTCAGGTAATGAGGTTAAATGATCAGTGCGTTGACGCTGAAAGTTTACAACAGCACCCGCAATGATTGAAAATTTGAAGCATTGTGGATGGCAAATAAGGATCCGTTAGAGTAATACGATGCATGAAAATCATGGTGGAGATGGGTCAGTATGAAAATTGTTATGCACGAAAATGAAACATAAGGTGATATGAGCAAGAGTGGGTCACCAATGTCAGATAAAGATCGGCCCATTTTGTAACAACACAAACGCTCTGTGCAAAGCCCGGTAGGTTCCGAGCCGGAGTCAGTTACTGGAGCTTGTTGCTCGGGTAAATTTACGTCCGTCAGATACGACCGAGAAATAAAAATGTTGCGGGGAAATTCACTAAAAGGTATTGAGGTACATGAGCGTAACCGATGGAGCAATAGGATCAGGCAGCAGGCAGACACAAAACACGAGTTATCGGAAGCCGCAGCCGTTTGTGTACATTTAGGTTTATTCAAACAACAGTGCAGACAAGTTCAGATGTACAAGAAAGTCTACAATGAGAAACGAAAAATGTACATATGCATGCAGTAGGCAACAAGGACGTTAGTTAGTCTTAATATCAGAGAACAAATTATCGAAAGAGGAATCTGTCATGAATTTACCGAAATTGTCGGCCTGGGATTCGAGACTGGGATAGAAAAGGGAACTTCTGCAAAACAACTGGTCACTTAACTCTAAGACCCCTGTCCCCAACATTTCGCCGATGAGGATAACATGCGATTTAGAATCGTAGGATTTTACTCAGGAAATTTTGTATTAAGCTACCTTGGCGCTTGAACCCCTGGGGCCCAGCTTTAAACGACCCAAAACCGTTCTCCAACTTTCAAATCTTCGGTTATTTGGTTGCGCGGAGGTGACGGCTTTAGGTGTCAATTACGTCCGTCTCCTGTACGATGTTCAAGAAGAAGACTCTGGAAGACGAAATCAAAGCTGGAAAAAGAGAGAATCGCAGAATTCAGCGCGGATTTGAAAGAGACCAATTGCAACTTGACCGTGATGAAAAGCAACTACAAGCCGAAATCAAAAAAATGGCCCAACAAGGAAATAAGGAAGCCTGTGTTGTGTTGGCCAAACAGCTCGTTAAGGTTCGGCAGCAAAAGACAAAATCGATTAGCATGGGCGCCAAGCTTAACGGGATATCAATGCAACAAAGTCTGATGGGCACTAATATGAAGATGGCCCAGTCAATGAAAAGTACCGCCAAAACCATGGAGCACATCAATAAAGTAAGTCTTTGTCTTGTGGTCTCCTAGATTGAGTGGCCTTTTTTGTCTTTCCTGGGTTCTAGAACTTACGTACCGCATTCAGCTATCCGTAAGGGAACTATAATCCTAAAAGGTTCAAAGGGAGAGACGACCATCGGGACTACTTTATTTTGATGTAGGGGGATCTAAAGTGTAAATTAATGCAGTAATCAAACGTAAAAGGAATAACTGTCAGCCCATCTGACACTGTTATCGTTGCGTTTTTTCTGTTTCATATGTTATTGGCGTTGATTTTATCTGCCGCAGAAATCAAGTAGCAAAGCGTTTCCAACGGTGCACCTCGGCTTTGCGTTAGTATTTTTAGTGTGCTGTTATTATAATTCCCGCTCCTCTATCTCCATTGACCCGCCTGCATCGGGAGCAATAATTCCAAGGAATATGGGGCACAACGAACGTGTTCCTCAGCAATAACGAGTGTTTACTTCTTTTTGGCGCTCTTCGTCACTATGTTCTTGCCCGTTCTTCCTTCTTAGCCGATGTAGTACTCAGCGCGCTGCATCGCCGTAGCTGACTGTCCAAACAAATCATTAAGTCAACGGCAAATCAGCCTAAAGTCTGGCGAGTGCTACCATATATTGCCAACGTTTCCGAGGCAGTTGCTCGTACCTTGCAACCATTGGGTATCGACATCGCACACAAACCCGAATCGACAATTAGACGTCTGGTTATGAGACCAAAAACGCCTCTACCACGAGGCGAAACTGCCAACGTCGTCTATCGGATCCCGTGTAGTTCCTGCGAAACAAACGACGTTGGAGAAATCGGTAAAAGATTGCAGACCCGCATGGACGAGCACGCAAGAGCGGTACGAAGGATGGATCAGCTCTCGCTGGTGGCGGAACACTGCGCAGCTTTTGGCCATGCCTTCGCCTTCCAAGATGCCGAAGTCTTGGGCCATGGGAGCGATCGAACGGTCATATTCTCCTGACGTCTCGAAAACTAACAAGTTTTCGTCGTCGGTGGTAGGTTGCGTACGACGATTCACACTATGTAAGGGTTTTTGTTAGTGCTGGCTTTCCATTGACTTCCAGCCCATCCGCGTGCGCTGCACCGCGAGGTGGAGGAGGTTTGTTATTGTGGCGTTCACCGATCGGCTCACGGAACCTGCTCGCTCCGTTGTGCGTTGGGGTTCGATCGAGGGCCCCGCAGTCAGTCGCACGACCACTAGTTATCTATGCAGAATGAGATTGCCGACGAAGACAAAGGCTGTAATGGTCATTTCTGACTTATTGGCAGTCATCAGCCAGCTGGTGTCCAGGGTTTGCAGCATCTGGAATTCTAGCCTGATGTTTCTGGTCATTGAGTCAAACGCTGTATCAAGTTGGCCACAAGCTTGTTTTTTGCCGGTCTCGGCCGGAATTACTGTGTTGGAACAGTCTTCATCAATCAGGTACGGCTAGGGCGATCTGCACAACGTAGACGGCTGTCGGTTGCCGGTAACTGTCGAGATTTAATACATCAATCTCTGTATTGTGGGAAATTTTAAAGTTTCTTCTGTGCAGACGAACGAAAGGTCTCCATTCCATTTTCCTTGGATTCTGTTTGCTATAGAATGCAAGAGCGACCTAAAAGCATGTTTAGTTTGCGTGACGGAAGGTCAAATAGACTAATACGAGCGGCACTTTCGCGAAAGTTAGCTGGAACCTTCGTCTAACAACATTCTACTCGTAGCTCGCAGCATCTTTCATTGAATGGTTTTGGCCTTATTTATCTGGAAACGGCGTCCCATCTTACAGCATTATCAATACACTGGTCGTTTCCACGCAGGATCGGCCGGTGTATGCACTCACTCCTTTTTAAAGTCAGCTTCATTGCAGAGTCAAAATGAGGCCTCTTATTCGCTCTTCTTCTGGTATTTAGCAGATGGATCCGGCAACGACGGCTAAAATCATGCAAGAGTTCTCCAAACAGAACATGAAGATGAGCATGGGTGAGGAGGCAATGAATGATGTGCTGGCAGATATCTTTGAGAGTGACGAGGCCGAGGAAGATGCCGTTGTGCAGCAAGTTCTTGACGAGATCGGTGTTGAAATCTCCACCAAAATGGCCGGCGCCCCCAGCCCGGCAGTCGGCTCAATAGGTGGACAGCAAGTGCCCACGGACGACGACTTGGAGGCCCAGCTCGCTCAGTTGCGTGCGCTCTGAACTCTTAACTCCTACCCTTCCCCAGTTTTCATCTAAACCTCGAGCGCACGCATTGCACAGATATCTGACATAAATTAACTTACCGACTATGCTGGGTAATCATACCGTCTTTCATTTCTGTATTTTTGCTTATGTGCTAATCTTTACTGTCTTTTTGATAACACTGATTTTGCGCATTTTCTGAATTTGACCTGCGCACAACTTTCTCAAACAGTCATCATGCACAGCAAAGTCATGAAAATAAAGATCAGTTGAATTCCGAGGCGCAGTCTGCAGGTAGTATATCGCATCATATGCCAAAACCGCCCTCAAAACTACACAGGTCAAACTGTATGCACCCTCGATTGCGCATAAGCTGGCCGTGTGACGAAGCGACGAACTATCCCATCTGGCTGTTCACACCTACAAAATGGGTCATTAGTTGAACTCCGCAGCCACCAATATAACAGCCCAAGCCGCGAACAAGACAAACCGGAAGTTTTTTTAATTCTGGGCCTCGGATGCGAAAATCGACCCACGCCTCTGCTTCTTATTATCCCTACGCTCTTTCGCATATTTATTTCAGTCAGTGTGTTGCTAGTCTTCGTCTGCTTTATCGGTGGTCACGTTAGCATGCTACTCGTGACTGCAGATTGTGCGCTTATCGCTAGTACATCCACACTTGTTGTGGATCGGCACATCTCGTGTCTTCCCATAAATGCCTGTCAAGTCTCATGCCAGCTTGAACACACCCCCCCCCTCCAACTATCGAAGGAGAAATTCTGGATAAGTAGCTACATGTGTAAAAACTCGTTATCCTGTTTCAGCCTTTAGACAGACTGGACGCCTCTTGAGTCATTGAGACTCGCGGGACTTAAAACGAACAAACTACCTCTCAGTTAGCGGAACCCACTGTGTCCTCGAACATTTTCTCTGACTACTCAACAATTTTAAAAAAACAAAGAAATCAAGCACTTTTTTAAGTCAATGGGAGGATTGTTCGTCGATTTATCCTGATTTCAGGGCTTAGCATGACATTCCCGTCCATCACGCTTCCGTCGACAGAACTTATTGGCTACTAACGGTTCGCCGCCATCGCACCGCCTACAAGAGTTTCGTATATGGGGCTCCAGGGCGAGGCGTAAATGCTCACTTCCGTCCCCTAATCGTGAAAAACGGCTAAACGCTAAGCTTATGTACTCTGAACGGCTAGGACCGACTTCAACGGCCCCCTAAACAAGACATGGGAACAGGAACCACTCGCTATACGGGTAGCTTCAAGGTTTAAGGCTACACTTACAGTTAACGGTAAGGTAAGTCGGGATCAGGGCTAGGGTAGGGGCTAGTGTCAATCGCGGAGTTAGGGTTAGCAGTGGGACAACGGATTAGTTTTACATTAGTTATTTTTGGGGGTTAGGACACGGGAATATTTTGCCTTTTCTGGAATTATGCGCCGGTCCACTCGTATTACTTGGATGGGACGTTTCTATTCGCACGTCCTGTTTAGGGGGCCATATAAGTCAGTCCTATCTCTGAGTGTCCTCAAACCGATTTAGAAGAGCGTCATACTTAAAAAGGGCATACTGAACAAGTGACCCTGATTCAAATCTCAGGTATTCCAGGTCTGGTTTTGGAGAATGGCCGGCCGCTGAAAGTGAGTTAACAAGGGACAGAAATTCGCGCCTCCCCTCTCTTTGCCGACAACACTTGTCAATGTAATTGGCTCGTGTGAAAATCTCGGCGACTTCGACATGACTCGAACTCTCAATGGAAAGAGCGAAGCTTGAGTACGGCCAACGCTTCGACTTTTTTCACAATCTGGTTGGGCCAATTGCTCGGGTCTGCAGAAAGCACCTATTAAAACGTGAGCCAGGTAGCTCTGCTGTGGACTAATTGTGAAAATCTGCTTTGACTGTCAACCAATTGTACTAAAGTTGGTGAATTCCACACGTTGCAGTAGGTTAGAGAAGGGTGGTGGCTTAGTCTGAAAGTGAAAAAGTCAAGGCTCTCGGTCAGAGCCTTGTATCTCAGGCGTTTAAAGCGTCAACCGCACCCAAACCTTTCCCCTACCCCCTCCGAGGCCTCCGCGTCTCCCACAATTTGGTCAGATCGATTACTCAAATCTGCCAACAACACCTATGAATAACGTTAGGCGTCCTCAAATACTACACTTGGTTTGTCCTTTACGCCGACTACCTGGACGTAAGTAACCATCTAGTGCTTCCTTCGGTTTCTTATCATGACGTGCGACGGCTGCCGTGTCGCCAGAAGTTCACCAACGTTAGCAGGTCCTGCCGTCTTTAGGATAGTCCTCCATCAGAATCACTTGCAAAGTAGACGCGTAGTCAGTCGGTGAGCTAACGGTAAGAATGAAAACAAACGAGAAGCAGAGTAGCATTTCCTTTTTCAGGCGCTGACACGGGACGATCGAATTTCGTGGAATTCATTAAAAGTGAGGAAACCTGAAAAAAGAATATGATAAAATGCAGAAAGAAAAAGTTTTAAAAAACGGAGTTAGGCGGCAGAAGCAAGGAAGCATCAGCTTGTCTTGACTTTATTCGGTAAGACCTCAGAAAGGAGTCGAAGGGCATGGCCTCACACCCCGGGGTCACGAAAAACGACGTAAGGATAGGTGTGATAAACAAGGTACTCCAGGACACATGCCTGTTTTCGACACCTGGAAGTGCTGATTGATCACTGTGCCAGCTGGCGTCCATTAAAGAGTAAAAAAATGGGACATGGGCTTCTTTCCTGAGGCAAGCGAAACAGACAGGTTATACAAATATGTCAAAACACTTCCAGATATCATCAACCACTTCAAGATTGGCAGAGAAAGTAGTGTCTCAGTTACTATTTGTGCACCCACTGTCGTTTCCGCATCCATGTACAGTAGACCATTTAACTCATTAGATTTGCGTAACCTCACGAAAATATTTAATCAACCAGAAATCGGCTCCAATATATCAATCAGAACACCCAATTAGTAAAGAAGAACCTTTATTTTTAAAAAAGCACAAGGGACGAATTGATTGTAATGCTATGTTGGTTGGATATAACAATGATTTATGAGAACGGGGATGCCTGAAACGCGGAGTTTCATTTCAAATGAGCAAGTCTAACTCGTGAAATTGCATAATATATGCCCACACAAGCAACTGACTAGATAAAAGTGCACAAGCACAACAGCTTTAAGGGAAATCTTTAAATAGTCCGCAGGCCATACATCCTCCAATAATTAATGTAGTATGACAGTTAGTTAACTGCTCAGTGCCCGGTTATGTGTTTTTAAATGATCTTGCAACAATCAAATGTAATTCCTTTTCATTCTACATTGTTCGAGATGCTGTGGATGGGGACGTCATAAGAATAGAAGTTTCCATTGATGTGTCCTACTAGAGAGATGCACTCCGTGCGCAGATGTGGTCTAGCACAATTGTTAGCATAAGAGATTGTCCAGTATAAAGTGACCTTCATTTCAGTCCAAATTAGTGCACCTTTTCATTGATGTCGTAACTCAGTGACGTAGTCTGCATGAGTTACCCTCGGCTGATCACCGGGGTCCCCACCTTCCCATTTCATCGGTCTAATGTCGCACTGTGAATCAGAGAAAGCTGTGATGCCGCATGCTGAGCTTTCATGCACAAAACTATGTTGAAAAAACGTACTCTTGACAGCCGCATGCTGCTATTCGGGTGTCTTTGAACCAGAAGATTGATCTCTGGATCAGCAAGAAAGGTGAAGCACGTGTCAACCTCCCCTTGTTGTTTATCGCACATGACTAGCAATCGCTTTTAGTGACAGTTATTCACATTTGTTGATATTGTTGTGCTAACAGTCTCCCGTGGGCATCGGCAGTTACCAATCTGCTGTCACTTTCGTTGCTTCCACTGGCGCGGATAATAGTGGTGACGCTGTCATTGCTTAATAGCTAATAGCAGTGGGTAAATGTACTCAAGATTGACGTAGAACAGCAAGGACAGGCTCAAGGAAGGGGAGCGGATGGTGTAACCAGTCATTCGGTAGAAGGGAGCAACGCCTGCGGATACAAGGTTTCATGGAAAACATGCATAAAAATGTTCATTCTTTTACTTATTCGGTAGAAAATCACGTCTTCTTCCAATTTCATACTCAAAAGAGGAGTATAATTCGGTTTTAAAAAAGTTTCTAATTGTGAGATTTTTTAATACCGTTAAATGGCCGTTCATGAAACGTCATGTATCTGAATTTACGAATGTGGCTTGTAAAGTTAACAATATTGCTCAAACCCACTGCTTAATTTTATGAACCTCATATGGTCTCCTCTTAAAACCGTAGAGAAATGCATGCAATATTGTTAACTTTACAAGCCACATTCGTAAATGCAGTTACATGACGTTTCATGAACGGCCATTTAACGGTATTAAAAAACCTCACAATTAGAAACTTTTTGAAAACCAAATTATACTCTTCTTTTGAGTATTAAATTGGACGAAGACGTGATTTTCTACCGAATGAGTAAAAGAATGAATATTTTTATGCATGCTTTCCATGAAATATAATTGAATTTTCAAGGGCATCGAAAATCAATCAGAAAATTGCATACTACTTAAGTAGTCCTTTTTGCAGAGTATAGATCTTGCATGCAGCCGAAAATAAGTTCTTTGGAGAGCCGACACCCTGAAGTAACTGGATCATTATAGATTTATGCTGCATCATGATTAGTTTTGCAACACTACTTAATCTATCTTTTCGAGACGAGAACGCATTTCGAAATTTTGGTTGACATTTCATGAGTTAGCACATCTACTGTATGTAAGTAGCTGGTATAGCGGACGTTCTAATCATAGTGTCCTTCATATGGTCCGTTAGTCCGACCGTCGCGAGCGGCCATGTCCATTGTGTGTAGAACAACATGGTGGGCGCAGGACGGTGGCTTGCGCGTGAATCGGTTCATAGACTTACGCCGCATCCGTCGCACTCCATCCTCCCTCATATACCTGGGCCCGATATCAAGCGAACTTCAAGAAGACCGGAAGCGGGAC